AGCTAAGAAAACATGGCAGGGAGCATCAGAACATAATAATGATTTGACAAATTAAGTTTTAATGCTTTGCAGAGATATAGCTTTACATCCATTTTGGTGTGCTCTTCGTCTGATTTGTCAAAACCTCACAGTTCAAAAGTTATTGGCAGAAGCATAAGTGCAAATTTGGACAGTTGGTGGTGCTTATGGGTTTGATTTGAAGACTCCCAATTTGCTGTGGTTATTGTTCATTTTGCTGTGGTTATTGTTTATTGTTATTTCAACTTCCAGATAATATGTCAGGTACACTAATATGCATTAATACATGATTAATTACTTCATTGTTAGTGCAAATTCATGTGCAAATTACTACAATTACTAAATGACTAGTTAATAATGATGTGCCCCAACAAGTAAAGTCATAGCATAATGATACCTTTGCAAATCATTAGCTAATGATTAATTAAAGCAGACAACTGGAAGTTGAAGTGCATAGCTTTGACTAATTGTGGTAATTACACATTCATTTACACTGTTAGTTCATAAAATATGTTATTAAGGAATTAATACACAATGACGCATTGAATTAAAAGCAATGCATGTATTACTTAATCTATTAATCATATAGACTCTTTATCAGTTGCTGATGCAGTAATCCTTAATTAATGGTTTAGATCTTCATGAGTTATACATTAACTCATGATTATCTCATGATGAATTAATGCATATTAGTGCACCCATATTGTAAAGTGTTACCATTATACCTTGATAATTCGTGTTAGTTCATTCATAGTGCATTAACTAATGTTAAAAGACACAACTTAAAAATGTAAATTAGTTAGTAGTCGACTCTTATTGAAAAGTGTCACCATTTCATATAAATCCAAACAGTCATACTTAAAACTGGCCATCTTTAAATGTTTATACAAAGGCCATAGTACTCACATAGTCATAGACAAATTAAGTGTAAAAACAAACAGCACAAGGCGTCAATGATGGCTTGATGGCTTTGGCCTCTAGAGGCCGCTCTCGTACTGTATAATGATAGCGGTTTAGCAACGGACCGGCATCGGTATGGCTTTTTGTCCGTAACCAAGTTGCTCCAGCAATCGGTTATCGGTGCCGATTGATCGGTTTTATCGGTTGACCTTTAATATCCAGTGGCCTCAAAAGTATGTGGACAATTGAGACACAATTAAAAATGTATACATGTTGTATAGCAAAATGTTAAAACAAGTGTCCATTATTTTAAAGAAATATAGCACAGGTACACAAAAATAATCGATTGAGGTTCTGCTAGGACGCAGCATGAAAAAGGACGTAGGCCCTGTTTACATCTGGTATAAAGATGCGTTTTGGTCAATCGAATCAGAAGTAGACGAAGGAGACACTTACCCGTACACACCTGGTGTTTTAATCCGTCTCTTCAATCCACTTTCAACCACTTCTCCTGATTTCTTCGAGGGGAGGGTTTATGGGCGGGTAAATGGATGGATCTTTCGATCTAAAGGACTGAATGAAGTCATAGAAATTTACATATAACTGAAAACGACAGAAAACATACAGAGAGCAGCAGCTTTCGTTCTTGCTTTGACAGCCCCAAGGCCAGCCGAACGCTGTGAGTGTGTGTTAGAAATCAGGAATGGTGAGAGAACATTGTGTTTGGTATGTTTTTCAACTTCCAACCAAACTTGTATCTATCGTCAGTTACTGTAGATGACGCCCCCTAGGATCGCGTCTAACCCTTAGCCTACCCTACCCCAGACCTAAACCTACCCAACTGACGCTAAAGGGTGCCTAAAGAATCAGATATTAAAGCATGGTCAAAATTGTAAGTTAGATGACGCCTTGGGATGAGAATACGTTTATGACGGCGCAATAATGTTACAATAGTAACTGTACAAAAGAGTGAGAAACCATTCTTTTATTTTACATACTAACAATATATTTATCATAATCATCTAATTTGTTAAAAAAAATAAACATTAAAATGATTACTTGTGCCATTGAAGTAAGAAAAAATATATGTGATGATGTCTATATATGTGATATCAGAGACAATTTCCTTAAAATGATCTCATAGTATTCTAAAACATTTCACTCTAAGCTGCAAAGCACATGGCCACGTGTTGTGGTCTTGATTTAAAACTTCACTATATGATGAATTCTGGTTTCAAACGAAGTTTTTAAGATCAAAAAGACAAACTTAAGAAATGTTGAATAATTTGAAATACCCCGTTTATATAACAACAGATATGTTCATGTAGAACAGGAGGTAATGCGCACTTCTGAACTATGATGAATGACCTGCAGAGGGCAGCAGAGGATAATAAATGCAATTGTAGATAAATGACTGGGTTTATTCTGATAAGTGTTCGTTTTGAGATACAACAGTATATTAGCGAATTAATCTTAAAAAAAAAAGATTATTGAAAACAATTGCACCATTACAGTCTTTGAGTGCGGAGAAGAAAACAATAGTTTGGCCTCTAAGTGGCGCCAAATGAAAAGTGCTAAATTTGTGTTCTGACATCACGTCACAAACATACCGCATCTGCATAAACCGCGAGACAAAATGGCACGTATTTTCTGAAAATAGTTCATTATTTCGTGTTGCAAAATGCAATAATTCGGAGTGTATAACTTAGATTATAATTGTGAAATATTAGCATGTAAAATGAAGTGCAACACATTCAAATAGTAGGCTACTGGAAATTAGGTTATTATGGATTTCAAAAATGGTCATAAAATATTATTAGACTAACAACCGACTTTCTGTTTTCTATAACACATACAAAAAAAAAAATGTACATAACCTAAAAAGAAAATGAAGAGAAACACGACGCATTTCCTGATCTTTTTGACAATCTTTGTGTTTATTGTAAGTATTGCATTTAACTCACAGCTAGAATCAGAGTGCATGTTTACAAAGAATGGCCACAAGTTCATCAGGACCTCTGTCCTTCCAGGGTGGAAAAGCTTCGCCTTTAACAGACCCCATTATTTCCCAGAGTCCCTTGACAAAACACAGATCCGTTTAGCATTTCTCTTTTCCTCCGGAGCGACTGAGATCAGAGACGTGGGAGAGCCGGTGCCAGACCAGCACCATTTCTCTAGGTGTCGTGTTGAATACGGGCCTGGATCGGCACGGTGGTCACAAAAGAACACGGTCCATTCTCTTCAGGGAAAAAAATAAATTAAATAAAACGAGAAAAAAGCACTGGCATTTCGCAGTATGGGCCCTGGCTTTAAATAGTGCAGATTATACAATATAACAAAAAACAATATAAATGAAAAGGAGAGACGATAAAAGAAAGAAAAAAAGCAACGTGTCCTCGGTGGAGGATGACAACAGAGGTTCTCGTCTGTGGTTTGGCCTGGTGTTGATAGAGCACCGCTTTGAATTCGATTCCATGACGTTCCCTCGCGCGACCGAAACGGTTCTAAACACAAAGAATTTACACCCGACTAAAAAAGTCAACACTAAAACTCTCTTAACAGGGGCGAGTAGAACTATTCCACATATGGGCCGCTCAGCATCCAATAGCATTTGGTTGATACTGGATCGGGACACCTAGCAGATGTCCGTGCTGCTCCATTTCAGGCAGAATGATCACAAATCTTGGCTTAATACGCACTAAAAAGCAGCTCTGCGTTTGAGGGAGAAAAATAAAATAAAATAATATATCATAAATGGGGAGAATTTAACGGTTTTAAGACCGAACTAGGGAACAGAACTGAAAGAGGGGAATGATTATAGATCTGAGGAACAAAATAAGTTAACCTTTTTAACCTCCGATTTCGGATTAAGGAAAGAAAATAAATACGACTTGAGGAAAAGGTAATCAAGTCTGAATGGTTCTTTTCACACAAAAGAAAGTGAAAAAAAAAGTTTAACATACAGTACAGCGGGAGACAAGAGCTTGAAGCGCTTCGGGCTAAGTTCGGGTGCTTTCACACAGGGCATGTTTGCTGCGGACCGAGTCCCGGAACTGGTTTCACACTTAAATCGGCTCTAGCTTTTAATTCAAATGGACTTTTTTGAACCATACGCAATTTAAATATATATATATATATATATATATATATATATATATATATTTGCAAGACTTTTTTTAGTCTGGACTGCATGGAAGCTTGTTTCCGCCACAGAATGAAAAATAAAAAATCCTGACTTTATTTCTCAGAATTGCGAGATATAAAGTCAGATTTGCGTGATATAAAGTCGCAATTGCGAGATGTAAAGTCAGAATTGCGAGATATAAACTCAGAATTGTGTGTTATAAAGTCATAATTGCGAAATATAAAGTAAGAATTGCTAGATATAAAGTCGCAATTGCGTGTTATAAAAGTCAGAAATGTGAGATATAAAGTCAGAATTGTGAGATTTAAACTATTCTGAGTGGCAAAAAAGTTAGTCTTTTTTCCCCCTAAGAATTAGCCTGATAACTCACAATTGCGAGTTTATATCTCACAATTCTGAGAAAAGAAGTCAGAATTGAGACATATAAACTCGCAAAATATGTGTTATAAAGTCAGAATTGTCAGATAAAAGGTCACAATTCTCTTTTTTTCTCAGAATTGCCGCTTTATATCACGCAATTCTGACTTTATATCATGCAATTGCGACTTTATTTCTCACAATTCTGACTTCATATCTCGCAATTGTGAGATAAAAAGTCGCAATTATTTTTTATTTATTTTTTTATTCAGTGGCGGAAACAAGCTTCCATAGGACTGAATTCAGAGTGAATTCAGAATCCATTTTATCATTGATTCTAGCATTTGTGACGTCCTCACAAACGTGCACGGCGCAGGATAGAAAACAGGATGCGGACAATACTTTGTGTTTTATATTAATATGGTACTATTAAGTGCACCGGAGTGAAGGACACTTGGGTTTACTGTATGTGTCGCATGAAGGCGTCTGGATTGTGAGCCTCTCATTGGCCGCTCAGATTGCACCCACTCTCACTCTCAAGGTAAACCATCACCAAAGACATGCGTTTTTGTTGAGCACC